TTGAGTCTCTTCTCAGAGTATGACCCTGATTTCAGGTGCCTAGTCTGTAACCATTGAGAAAGTCTTGTTTGTTCCTATACCATCATACTGATGAGGTGCAGTCATTTATTTCTGTTATTGATGTTTTCAAGCTCATTTTTTAACCTCAAAGGAGATTACATCAAGAATGAAATACTGGCCAATACCTGTAAACCCAAAATATATCGCTTATGGGAATTTTTCTTCTCTGTAGAAGAGTCTTGGTACATGTTCTCAAAATCTTTTGATCCTTTCTATATGCATCTCTTTTGAAGTATACAAATGTGACGCTGTTTATGCTACTACAGCTGGGCGTTAAGGTGCCTTCTATGTTCTAAATCACAATTCAGTGAGATTGAACAATTCGTGAATGTCTGCAAATCCAGTAAGCTAAGGTCAGCTTTCTGGGACTGTTGCTAGCCCTTTGTATAGGGAAAGAAATAAAATATCAAAAATTACAAACAAGTAACAATAAAAGGCTGTGAAAGGTGGCTTGTTTTGCTAACATCTTCTTTGTTTATTTATTAAAGGAGGAGATCATATCTATTCTGACAAAGGAACTCCTGAGAAAATATGATAAATGGAAAAGATCCAAGTGTAAACAGAAATCTGGTTAAGTTTTTCAAAATTTGTGTGAATAATGTAACTACGTACCTGGCTTTTAAAATAATTCACTGCAGAGTGAAATGGTCACAACTACTCCGTGCACTATATATAGAAAGAAAGAGAGATGCTTATTTTTGAGTTATGAAAAACAAGGTTTCTGCAAAGGATTGGACTGCGGAAAGAGAATCTGCAGTACCGGTTGGTGTGGACTAATTGCACTCATCAGAAAGCCGCATGTCCAGGACAAGTCCTGGCTGATGGTGCGCAGTAAGGACCTGCAGACCCCAGCAGAGCCACCTCGCTTCCGTGGGACGGGGAATGGGAGGGCCCTTGTGGAGAGGCTGGTGGAGTCCCCTCACCCTCACGCGGAGGGATCCTCGTAACCCCACAAACAACCATGGGGCTAAGCAGGAAAGTGCATGTGCCAGGGGACTGTGGCAGCCTAGTTCCCCTGCCAGACCAGGCAAGGGAAATTAGGCAGCATACATCGTAGCATCAAGACAGCTGAGATGCGTTTCCCTGTCCAAAACTAGTATGTACCTTGAGCCTTCTCCAACCCGACATGCCTGCTGCTACTCACTGCTCTGCCAAAAACTTGTCCTCGGCTCACGGCTGGCTCAGAGCCAAGGGAATCCCTGAATCGCCTAAATGAAGGCCACTATCTGTACTACTCCCTTTCTGATGCCATAGGGTTTTTTTTGGTGCTGACCACAGTCGGTCTTTACCAAGTCAGCTTAGAGGCATCATACCACTTCAGAAAGGAAATTTCACCTTGCTGTGGTTACCTAGGACCCCCCCTCAGTCCTCCTGCTGCTACTCACAACCCTTCTGCTCTTCGTTAACCAACATAGGTCTTTGGTTCAGTAAGTTTTGCCACAGAGGTACAAATCTGTCCTCAGCAACGTTAACAAGAGGCCTTTCATTTGGATATGCATTTAGTAGTGGTGCTTCGTACCCACAGAGGGCTTGTCACTACTTCATTAAGTAGATCTGAACAAGAAAAGCCTGAGAGGCAGACACCTCCTGTGTGCGAGCCAGCAGGTACTTGCCACACTGGCGGAAGACCTTTTTCACCCCCAGAACATTACAGCAGATCTCCATGACTACTGAAACCACCATGAATTACTTGATCTGCCTATATTTCTACGATTTCACCCCAAGAAGTTCTCACCTACGCATGGCACAACCCTCGCAGAGCGTAAAGGCTGACTGGACATCACTGAGATTTGCATCACCTTGCAAACCAGGAGGCTTAAATTTTGCAAACCTGCTGTTCGAGATGTTACGCCCTTGTACCCAGCCCTTGTACCATTTAAGCAGTTACTCCTCCAGCACATCTGATGCATGGTAAGTAGCTGCTTTCTTGGCTCAAACTGGACCATTTAGTCCAACACTCCACACCTACTCCGGACATGAGAATCAGGCCCCTATTTCCCATCCATGGGGTTTTTACTGTTTTATAGGAACAGGAAGACTTGAAAAGATTTCCTTGGAGGTCTGACCCTCTGTTACTGCAGGCAAGCACGTTTATGAGGCTGTGAGCATGGTAGTGGAAGGGATCCGTTTTTTTTTGGTCTTGGAAACCTAAAGAACTAGGGGTCAAATCTGCTCTTGCCAAAACAAATGGAAATTCTGCAACTGAGATGGTTGGGATCAGGATTTGCCCAAACTTGTGGCCTCAGAAATTGGCCATACTTTCTCCGTTCCTCTGGTTTCTAGGAAGAAATGCAATTTAGAAGCTTCAAAGCTGTGAACTAAGGTAAGCAGGACATTTAGCTATGGGAATGCAAGATATTGAAGAGCACAGCATTTCAGAAGGCTGCCACCAACACAAGGAACTGCTATGAAATCTCTCTAAAATGTTGATGTCTGCAGGCAAAGAAACTAGGCCATGTGACTCAAAACTTCTTGTCAAAGAGTATTTGAAAATAGAGAGGCTAATTTTCTTGGAAAACTAAGGCCCTGGCTACAGGTACAAGATGATGCAGGATGTATGTCCGCTTTCCAACAGGAAGAAATTTGGGAACTGTTCCAGGCAAACAGTTTGGCCAGTCGCTGTAGATAAACTGTAACTTACGAACTGTGGCACCCTCCCATCAGACTGACCGCACTTAGTACAGGTTTTGTCCTCCCCACTTCGACTTGACCTCTAGAGCCCAGAGGGCTCATGCAAGTTCTTGTCCTCCCAGCCTGGATCAGTCACAGACCACTAACCCTAACTGCTCTACGACGGCGCATTCTTGCACACCCCTTCCTTAAGGGAATCATGGAAACCTAATCTGCAGGATCTGGGTCAGAAAGGAAAAAAAGTTAATTTATGTGCAAGAAAAAGCCTGCCACACTCAGAATAACTGCTCAGCCTGGGAGCTGGCGTGCCGTTCTTCGGATAGGTTGTATTTTTTATTCTCAAGTTGGATAAGCTGGGAGGTACCAATGTGAGCACACCAGCGGGCGACACCAAGGAGCCAGGAGCTGCTGCCTGTCGGTGAGGCAAAGGCACGTCGCAAGTGCTGCTGTTTTGCAGCTGACTGGCAGCACCTCACCTCCCCGGGTGCCGGGATCCCGTGAATATTTGTTGCCAGTTTTCTGCCGTGCCTCCCACCGAGCTCGGACTCCTGCAGAAGCTGAGGCTGCGGCCCCTCCACGATGCCTCTCTTGAGGCGCAGAGGCTTCCAGCTCTGCTCCAGCCCTGCGCAGCACTTCTGACAGTCTTCATCTAAGTGGTATCCTAAAGGTTCACCCTCGCTATCCGTCACCTACGGAGCCACCCCTACCAGTAACTACACGAGATGAAAAATCCCAGGTCAGGGCCGCAGTGTTGTGAGGTTTTTTTGCTCCTCAGCCCGCCCCCCGAACACGAGACTGAATTATTTTGATTCCTTCCCCTCTCCCCCCGCTTTATTCCTGCACCGTCAGGGGACATTTTCCAGCTGTTCCCCGCTGTTTGGACATTCACACCGCCCGGGACGCCGAGG